CAACCAGGCATTCAGCAAAACAAGGGACTTCCCACCAGTGCCCCAGCCCAGCACAACGTGACTCTTCTCAGAACCCGGGCACCAGCAATAAAGGTCCTGCACCAAAAACATTTACTGCTCTCTAGTCTTAATGACCTTTAATTCAGGACTAATGAGCTCTGGATGAGCACCAAGCAAATCCACTGCAAGACCAAGGAACAAGACAGTGTCCAGTCTCATCCTCCTCCACAGCCACAACCCCAGTGTGTCTGCAGGGCAAAGAATTCCAGCCTTCACAGGGACAACAGTGTGGTGAAAGAGGCCAAATTCTAGCAAATTTTGTGGAAAGACCAAAGAATCCAAGTCCACATCTCTATTTTAAGATAAATATTCCTTAGTAGACTTCCTACCTTAACCACTAGAAACAGAACCTTTTCCACACTGGAATTCCATTTTAAATAATACAAAGCTACTAAATCTGCCTCTGGAATTTACAAGTCCTGAGCAGCTTAGGTCAGGCAGGAAAAGGGTGGGATAAGGCCAGGGAACATCCGAGTGGAACAGCAGTGCTGTATCGCAATCCACCAAAACCCGCTGGGTGGCTTTTGGGATTAATTAATTGTAGCAAATTGGCTGCTCCAAGTGCTGGTGTTGGCTCAGCACCCAGAACACAGCCCAAACCCTGCTCATGCTAGAAGGAATGTCACTGTCAGGAGATCCCTGTGGGTTGCAGGGGACAGTGACTGGATCAGAACAGGGGGTTCAGGTTTATCTGAGACACCTCACACCAATCACCACAGGACCCTGCCAGGCCAAGAGCCTTTGTTCACCTGTGGCTGATCTGAAGCCTCTTGGCCTGGCAAATTTTCTAATCCAGCCTCCCCCAGGCCTCAGGGCAGAGCTTGCTGTGGGTCTGCTGTTCGTACTGACAGGATTATCCCCAGGAAGACATTTAAGGTCACTGTGCAGGTGCCCCAAGGAGCCAGGATGGGACATGTGGGGAGGATGATGATGGGAGGAAGGAGGAGCACAGGTAGCAGTGAAGGTGTGATTACCTGCTCGGGCTAGCATCTCAAACTCGGACACAGTCTCCCGCAGAGGCTGCATACCTTTAGTGGCTGCGTCACTAAACGAGAACTCCTGGCTGTCGTTGTGGGGCAGCTCAGTGCTGCTCACCCGGGATGGCTTGAGGAACACCTTGGGCTCGATATCCAGCTCAAACTGTTGGAAAACCAGAGTAGGGAAAGCCACATCAGCAGCCTCTTTACCTCTCACCCGCCATGCTCTCTCTATCCACACAAAGCCCTACCCCCACCAAAAGGACATTTGATCTGGCTTTCCTTTCTGTGTTAAACCATCAGAGGCCAATGTGGGGATTCAGAAACAGCCAAAGAACAGGCTTTGTTTCCAGGAGACCAAGGGATCACACAGAAACTTCACTTCCAACTAAGACTTCTCCCCAGCCCATCACCCGGACTCCCCTCTCCAGCATACACAGGGATCGCATCCTTGCCTTGATGGAGCTGTTTTCAAACATATCCACAGTCATCTCTTCCTCTTCCTCCTCCTCTTCCTCAGTCGTGGACTCAACCACCATTCCTGGGAACTTGTCCACCCCACAGAACTGCAGGAAGATGGGGGCCCGGCTGGAGTTGCGCTGGATTTCCACCCGCAGGATTCCATCGCGGGGCCACTTATCCCGCACGTGCTCCAGGCAGTTGATGGGAGAGCGGGAGAAGGCGATGTGGATGTAGGCCAGGATGAAGAGCACAAAGAGAGCCTAAAGGGCAGGAGACAAGGCAGACACTGTCAGACCCCTAGTTATCAGCAGCTCTTCTCAGCCTGTGAAACATCAGAATAACTTGGGCGAGTGGACCAGCAAGTGGACAAGAGCTTTGATGCTTCCCTGCATCAGCAAGGCAGCAGGCAGTCCTTGGCTGTTCCAGCAGGGAACACACCAAAGGCATCAGGAACCAACTGCTCCTGCTCATGAGAGCTGTGACAGTGACAGAGACAGTGACAGCATTCTGAAAGCTCAGGTCCTGCATCCAACAGCGTCCCAAAACCGACCACACAGAGCACCAGTGCAGGGTGAGGCCACGAGGCACACTGAAGGAAATGGAAACATGTCCGTGCCTTCCAACCCTTCCCTCCTCAGCACAAACAGTTTCCTGCTGAAACCTACAGAAGCCTGCCTAGCTTTGTAAAGGCAGAATAAAGAAAACTCTAAGCAAAGCCAAGCCACCCCTGGGCAGGATGACCCAAAGCCACATGAGATCCGTTGTCCCACAGAACAGGTCCTGCCCTGGGGAGGCTGAGCTGGCCCCCGAGGCCGTGCACAGAACAGCACAGCTCCCTGTCCTGCCTCCATCCCAGGAACAGCCATAAACCACAGAAAAGCAGGGTGGACTAAAAACACTTGTTCCCTGGAGTGAACAGAGATGTCCAAAGTTCAGAGCTCAGAGCAGAGCTGGCACAGCGAGCGGCACTGCTGAGCTCAGAGCGCCCTTCCCAGCCACCCTGCCCGCTCTGTCCTCATCAGCCCCGCCGTCCTGACCTATTTGTGATGAACAAACAGCCTGGTAAACATCACTCTGCAGAGGAGCTGCACAGGGACATGTGAGGGAAGGTAAAGCAGAGCCACCTCCCTGGTTGTAGGAGCCACAGAAGAGCCAGGGGTAATTCCAGGGCTCGGGATGGGAATGTGGGTTCCCACTTCCCTCCTGCCAGCAGCTGGAGGAGAACTGGGAGCAGGCTGCTGACCTGTGACCCTGCAGGCTGCTCTCCACAGAGCCCTGAGGAAGTTTTTCCTTCTCTGGGAGGAGCTGGGATCAGAGGCAGAAGCAAAACAAACTGCTCCCAGCCACTCTGCCTGACCAGCGCACCGTTAGCACTATCCCTGTCCCAGCTGGTTTGCCAGGATGCAGATGAACAACTGAGAGAGGGAACAGGGATGAGAAAAACCCAAACGTCTCCTGAAAGGGTAGAAAACATATCTATGCAGCATGAGACAAGCTGTGCTGAATGTTTTCTTGCTGAAACCTACAGGAGTGTGCTGCTGTTGCCTGGCAAGCTGCTCTCCCCTTCTCCTTTCCCTAATTTCTCACCCTGGAAGATGTGGAGCAGGATTTGACCTGAGGGCAGCCACCCCTGGACACTGACAGGCCCCTCTGGGAGGGTCCCCATCAGCCAGCAGGCAGCTGGGGTCACCCCAGAGCACACTGACACATTCCTGGCACTGCTGAAAGAAACGGGGCTGTGCCTTAACTGCTTCCAGAAAAGACAAGACTCCAGCAAAACTCCAACAATCCGTAGGTCATGTGGGAAATGTATCCAAAATGTGCCATTGCTAGGAAACAGAAAAGGAAACCTCTCCTGCCTCGCGTCAGCCTGGCTGCCCAGCAAGCTGGCTCAGCAATTTCTTTTTGATTTACAGATCTGGAAGAGCTCCAGAGTGCAGGGAACACCGGGACCACCACGGAGACCAACGCCTCCCTCACAGGAGGGGCCCACGGGAGCTCCGGGGACAGCTCGGTGTGCATGGTCCAAACACAGCCTGCTACCTCCGGCAGAGGCACGACTTTCGGTGCTTCTAATAAAATTCCTGCCCTCAGCTCAACCGCGGGCCGGCAGGAGCTGCCCCTCACCTTGAGGAGAACGAAGAACTCGAAGACGCGGCGGAAGGAGGGAGGGAAGAGGCGCGCGTAGGTCACTGCCATCTTGAAGAACAGCGCGTGGAAGAGGCGGTCCCGCACGTTGATCAGGGGGTTCTGGTTGAGGTTGGGGTTGCGGACGCCCCGGTTGTTGCCGCCGGCGGCCCCGGCGTTGTTGGCCGGGTGGTGGTTGTTTGCGTTCGGCTGGTTCTCGGACATCCTGACGGGGTCGGATGAGGGCTGGGCCCGAAAATGCTGCTGCTGCTCCGCGGGCCGGGCTGGGGCCGGGCGGGCGCTGCGGAGGGGCCGCGGGCGCGGCACCGGCGCTGCCTCCGTCCCCCTCCCCGGCCCCTGCCCGGCGCAGACGCCTCGGGGCGGCGGCGGGTCAGGCCCGACGGGTCAGGCCTGGGCACTCAGCGGGGCCAGGCAGCTACGCGGCCGGAGCAGACGCACCAGGGACGTGGCTGCCGGGATGTCCCCGCGGCCATGGGGGTCTCTCAGCAGGGCGGGGAGGCGCGGCGCGGCCCGGGCGCGGCGAGCGGCTCAGCGGTCCCGGCGCGGTCCCGTCTCGTCCCTCAGCGCTCCGCCGCCATTTTCCTCCGCCGGCCACGGCGGCTCACGCGCGTGCGCGCGCACGCGCGCCCGGAGCACGACGGGACCGTGGCGGACACGCTCCGGCCCGGCCCCGCCTCCATGCAAATGAGAAGATTTCCCACCATGCATCGCGCACAAGGCGGCACCTCCGGGCGGCAGTTCGGCCTTGAAAGCACAAAAAATTTCACAAAAATGGAAGATTTAGAATAAAAAATTAGAATCTATCGCTTGGGAGAGTGACCATGTGAAGAAAAGCAAAGGAATCCAAAAAATTATTAACTCGTACTGAGGTAAAAATTTTCAAGTATGGGAGGTTTAAATAGCGCTTCGGGTGCAAGGCAGTTCGTGCTCGCTTCGGCAGCACATATACTAAAATTGGAACGATACAGAGAAGATTAGCATGGCCCCTGCGCAAGGATGACACGCAAATTCGTGAAGCGTTCCATATTTTTTTCCGGGCACGGTCTCGAAGCCCCTCCCCGGGACCACCCTTTTGTCCCCCCGAGAAGCGGCACGGGCCGTCCCAGCCCCCCGCGAGGCCGGGGGAGCCCCCCAGGCGCGGCCCTGACGCAGGCGAACATCGACCCTCAGGTTTCCAGGCAGCAGCTGACAGGAGGAGAGGACGCGGTCTTAAGCTGCGCCAAGGGGAATTTAGGTTGGATATTAGAAGTTTTTTATGGACGCGGTGCTGTCCCGCTGTGCCCCCGCCCTGTCCCCCACCGCGGTCGCGTTGTGGCGAGGGCAGTGGAGCCCCCCGGCAGTACCGTGGGTTTTTATTGAATTGCTCTGTTACAGCAAGCTCGGCGCCGGTGGGGAGCAGCGGGGTCCCAAGGCCAGCCCCAGACCCCCCCATCCAGCTCAGCCCCGCACAGGGCATCAACCCCACCGCAGGGAGCCGGGGCCAGCTCTGTCCTGGCACTCTGAGCCCTCCCCAGCAGCCACTGTCCCATGCGATGGTGACACCGTGCCAGCGGGCAGGATGCGCCCACGCCTCTTCTCTGCAGCTCTGGGGGGCTGCAGTTCCCAAAGCCCTGTGACCCTGGCTCGTGCTGTGGTGACAACCAAGGAGGGGGCTGTGGGGGTCCATGGGACACCACGGCCCACTCAGACAGCGCTCTCCTGGTAGCTGTCGTCCTCCAGGAATCTGCTCAGCCTCCTCCCCGGGCCGGGGGCCGCATCCTGCCCTGGGGCTGTGACCTCCCCGGCGTCCCCATCGCTCTGCTCCTGGGCAAAGTGCATGAAGACCTGCAGGGAGGGCAGGATGAGAGACAGCACCGTGGGACAGGGCCCCCACGCCCTCACACTGCCTCCCCTGTCACCTGGTCCAGCGTGGTCTGGGACACGGAGTAGTCCTCTATGTGGCAGGGGCCACGGTGGGCGGCCAGAAGGCTGAAGACGGTGGCCAGGGAGGTGACACGGGCAGGCAGGTGGTACTGCAGCAGCCCCCCATGCTGCTCCCTCAGCACGATGCCGGGGAAGTGCTGCTGCAGCAGGGCCTGCACCGCTGCTGGGCCAGGGCCCCCCGCCCGCACCACCACCGTGTACCCGTCCCCAAACCTGCGGGGAGAGGGGACACTGCTGTGAGGACTGGCCACGGCCACCACCCTCTGCAGACCCCCTTAGCCCCCCGATCTGATACCTGTTCTTGAGGTGCTGGACGCTGCCCAGGCAGCGGAACCGGCCGTTGACCATGATGGCCATCCTGGTGCAGAGCGCCTCGCACTCCTCCATGCTGGGGGGACACGTGTGAGCCCCCCAGGGCGGAGGGACACTCCCTCCTGGGGGGTTCCTACAGGAACAGGGTGCTCCCCGTTGGTGGGGGCTCACCTGTGGGACGTGAGCACCACGGACCGGCCGTCCCGGATAACGCCAAGGATGCGCTCCCACAGGAACCTCCGGGCTTGTGGGTCCATCCCCGTTGTGGGCTCATCCTGCAATGGTCCCGGCCTTGGGTCAGCCTGGGCAGGACCCTGGTGCTGCCGTGCGGCCTCCCAATGCCCCCCTCACCAGGAAAACAACAGGGGGGCAGCCGAGGAGGGCGATGGCCGTGGAGAGCTTGCGTTTGTTGCCCCCGCTGTACTTGCCCGCCGGCCGGTCGGCGTGCGGGCCCAGCCCCAGAGCGGTGATGCCCCACTGAGCCACCTGCGAGAGACAGAGGGGGTGAGGGTGGGGGCTCCCCCTGGGCTGGGGAGGACAGGGTACGGGCCCTACCCTGGGGGTCTCCTCCTCCGGGATCCCACGCAGGCGGCTGTAGAACTCCAGGTGCTCCCGCCCCGTCAGCAGGTCCGTGATGGCGTCAAACTGGGGACAGTAACCCATGTGCTGGTGGACAGACTGGAGGTCGGTGAGCACACTGTGGGATGGGGACAGGTGAGCATGGGGCAGGGACAGGTGAGCACAGGATGAGGACAAGTGAGCATGTGACAGGGACAGGTGAGCATGGAACAGGGACAGGTGAGCACACTCTGGGATGGGGACAGGTGAGCATGGGGCAGGGACAGGTGAGCACATTGTGGGATGGGGACATGTGCCAGGGATACTGTGGGAACAGGGACAAGCAGCTGCAGGGACGAGGATGAAGATGAAGCAGGCTGCAGGGCAAAGGGCCAGGAAGGGCACAGGTGGGGACAGAGATGGTGACATAGGTGCTGTGAGGACACGGAGAGGAATCCAAGCCATGGAGTCCCTGCATTCACCCACCTGTGCCCCTTCAACCAGGCCTCTCCCAGCGTCACCTCTGTGTCCCCTGTCAGCATCTTGAAGGTTGAGGTTTTCCCAGCACCATTCACCCCCAGGAGGCCAAAGCACTGTGGGGGCAGAGCAGGGTCACTGGCAGCCCTGGCCCTGCCCACAGAGCTGTCTGTCTGTCCATCTGTCCCTCACCTCCCCGGGGGGGATGGCCACGCAGAGCCGGTCCACGGCCGGAGCCTTCCTGCGCCGGTACACCTGCATGGAGGAGAGGTGGCACTGGGTGCTCCCTCCTGTCACTGCCACTGTGCCAGGGGTCCTGGGTGGGCTGGAGCTCACAGCAGGGTCCAGCCCACGCACCCACCTTGGTCAGGTCCTTCAGAAGCAGGAGGTGGCCGTGTGGGGGGATGCTGCCCACCCTCGCCCGCTCCCTGGCCACGTCCTGGTCCTCATCTCCCAGCGAGGGCAGTTCCAGAGCCCGTGGGCTGTGGGAACAGGGGCAAGGGCACATCCAGGGCTGTCCACCTCCCTGAGCACCCCCAGGGTACTGTGTCCAGCTCTGTGTGCAGTTTAGGAAGGACATTGATATGCTTGAACACATCCAAAGGAAGGCAACAAGGCTGGTGAGGGGTTTGGAACACAAACCCTGTGAGGAATGACTGAAGGAGCTGGGGGTGTTTAGCCTGGAGAAAAGGAGACTCAGGGTGACCTTATCACTCTCTGCAACTCCCTGAAAGGTGGCTGTATCAGGTGGGGGTTGGTCTCTTTCTGCAGGCAGCACTGACAGAACCAGAGGACACAGTCTTAAGCTGTGCCAAGGAAAACTTTGGCAGGATATTAGGAAAAAGTTTTTTATGGAAAGAGTGATAAAGTTCTGGAATGGCTGCCTGGGGAGGTGGTGGGTGTGTTTAACACCCATCCCTGGGTGTGTTTAACAAAGCCTGGATGTGGCACTGGGTGCCAGGGTTTAGTTGAGGTGTTGGGGCTGGGTTGGACTCGATGATCTTAAAGGTCTCTTCCAACCCAGTGATTCTGTGATTCTGATTCTAAGGGATTCTGGGATTCTGATTCTCAGGGATTCAGGGATTCTGGGATTCTGTACCCCCCGGCCAGCGCTCACCCCAGGCGCAGGAAGAAGCGGTGGTACTGCAGCAGGAGGGTGAAGAGGAAGAAGACGATGCCCTCGATGGCCATGGCAAACATGTTCTTCCCCGCTAGGTCCCAGGAGAGGGGGGACACGAAGCGCTTGTCCCCTGCAAGCAGCCAGAGGGGCTGTAGGAATAGGGGACCCCTGTGCTGGGCTTTGGGGGGGTCGAGCAGCCCTGACACCCCCGGACTCACCAAACCTCTCAAAGGCATCAGCCATTGCCTGGTTCTTCACCATGTCAATGAGGCCTCGGCCCAAGCAGAAGTGGGGGAAGATGAGGAAAACCTTCTTCAGGACACGGTTGATGTCATTGAGGTTCTGATGGGGCAGCAAAGAGAGGGGTGGGGGAGCTGGCACTGGCACTGGCACTGGAGGGGACTGACGGGGGTGCAGGGTATGCCAAGGCTCACCTGGTCCACAAAGAGCTCCAGCACAAAGGTGGCCACGCTGCCATTGATGCCGATGAAGAGGTTGATGCAGGTCAGGGCCACGTAGGCAGTGCTGGGGATGCTGAAGAGGAAGGAGGCTGGATACATCAGGGGGGTGATGGACCACCTGCAGGGGGGAGAGCAGGGGCTGGCTGAGGTGCACCTCCCAGCCTGGGGGGCTTGAGAGTGCACCCACCCTCCCAAGCACCACAACCCCTCACCCCGGCTGCCCCCAGCCCCACAACCCCCTTGCCCCTGCTGGGCTCTGCTGCCCCATCACCCGTAGAGCAGCAGCAGCAGCACCAGGGAGGGCAGGTTGGCCGAGGACACGTAGGATTCCTGCTGGAAGCAGAGGAAGATGAGGATGACCAGCAGCGCGGGGACCAGGTAGTTGCACTGAGGGGATGGAAAAGCAAGGAAAGGGGTCAGGGGTGGGACCAGACCCCTTGGAACTAATCCCTGTCCCCATCCCCATCCCCACCATGTCCCAGGCGAAGTTGCCTAGCCAGTAGGTGATGGGCTTCATCCCGCTGACAAACTGAAGGTGCTTGGCCTTGCTGACCCGCTCCTCGATGAGGAAGACGACGAAGCTGGCCGGGACGAAGGACATGGCGAAGATCACGCAGATGGAGACCAGCACGTCCACAGAGGTGGCCATCCTGCCGAGGAGGGGAGAGCTCAGCGGGGGCCGGAGGGGGCTGTGGGACCCCCATCCCCACACTCACAGGGCGGCCTCGGAGAGCTGCTCCTTGGTGAGGTTCAGGGGGTGGTTGGTGGCCGTGATGCCGAAGCGCGCGGGGTCGGTGCCGGGGGGCAGCCGGGCTCGCAGCAGCCCATTGCTGGCCACGTTGAGGAAGGAGACCATGGCGTGCCAGCCCTTGTTGTTGAACCAAACCTGCAGCATGGGGAGGGCCGGGCAGCTCAGAGCCCCCCACCCAACCTGGCACTGCCCCTGGTTGTGCCTGCAGCACCAACTCCCACCAGGAGCACTCCCAATCCCCACCGGGCTCCTGCTCCCTTCCAGCCACGCTCAGTCCTTCTTGGGCTGCTCCACCCCTTGAGGAGACACCGCTGTCACATCCCTGCTGTCCCCAGCTCTCCCCTCTGAGGCACCCCCAGCCCTGGGCACACCTTGATATTCCTGCGGGCATCCAAACCCTCGATGAAGCGGCTGAGGTTGGCCAGGAGCCGATCCGAGGGGCTGCCCTGGGTGCAGGAACACAGGGTGAGGAGGGGTCTCCCAGCACTGGGACCCCAGAGCCGAGCCAGGGGCTGAGTCCGGCTGTACCAGGGTGATGTTGAGCAGCACCCGGAGCTCCAGCACCGCCTGATCCACCTCTGCTGCTGATGGCAGGGCCTGGGAGCTGCCAGCACCCAGGGAGAAGCCGCCGTACCTGCAGGAGAAACGGGGCTCCCAAACCTGCCAGAGAGACTCCCACTGCCAGCGTGCCAGGAACTGGGCTTGAGGATCCACCTGGGTCCCTTCCACCCCTGGAGATTCTACAATTCTGTGAAACCTGACACCCATTCCCCACTGCCACCTTTGTGCAAACTCAACCCTCCACTCGCCCGGGTGCCAGAGTGAGGGACACACAGCAGAGGGCTGAAGGCATCTGGATCATGGCTCTGCCCAGGGACCACTCAGGCTCTCCCCAAACCCACCAGGGATCTCTTGTCTCCCTCCATTCCTGGCTGTGCCAGTCCCCAGCCCCTGCCCAGCTCACCTCTGCTCATTCACCCACTTCTTGTTCCTCAGCCTGAAAGAAATGAGGTGGGGGAGTCAGAGGAGAGAGAAACCCCCTGAGGGGACATTAGGGCAGCACCTGCCCACCCAGCCACGTGTCCCCAGCAGTGTCCCCTTCCCCCAGGTGTCCCTGGGGTGTTCCCTTGGTGTCCCCACAGTGCCCCTGCAGTGTCCCTGGTGTTCCCAGCCCCAGCACTCACTCCTGACGGATGATCTGGGGATAGGTCTTCACCAGGTAGTCAGAGATGTTCCTGCCCGTCAGGTTCTGAAGGACGTCCCCTGTGCCCCTCTGCACCTGCAGGATGGACAGAGGGGCTGGATGGATACCCAGCCCTGTGGCATCCCAGAGCACCACCTGCCCCCACAGCCAGCAGTGACAGAGCCCTGGGGCTGCCCCTGCGAGGCTGGGGGTTACCTGGGGTGGTGGGAGCCCCCCGGCCCCCTCAGGACACTCAGGCAGCATCCTGTGTGCCCCTGGCCCGCTGCACTGGCACGGGGGGGACGGCTTGGCCCGTGTCCAGTTCCCACGCTGCAGCACTTCCAGCAGGGATGGGGGGGCCGAGGGGGTGGAGAAGCCATCGGGGTGGGAAGCCGGTGGGCACAGCCCTGCCCTGGGCACCGGGACAGAGAGAGAAACTCCCGTTACCAGCCTGGTGTGAGCCAGGGGCACCGGGACCCACCGTGGGCATGCTGGGGGGTCCCACAGCGTCACACCAGGTGGCAGAGCTGCTCCGTGGGCAGGTGGGCACTGGGGTGGGGGACAAGCCCCGGCTGTCCCCGTCCTTCCGAGGACACTCACGCCTTCCCCTCTTCCTTCATGCACTTGGTGCCGAAGCCGGGCTCAGCCAGGAACGCCTCCAGCAGCCGGACTGTGTCGGGGTCTCCCGGGGCGTCGTTGCTGTCGGGAGACACAGGAGTGAGCTGGTGGCAGTGGGGGACCAGGGACACGGCGGGCAGAGGGCTGGGGACACACCTGAAAAAGGTGAACTGCTGCCCGTACATCCAGGGCTGCAGCTGCAGCGGCGGGTACTTCCCGAAGGGCGGCACGATCAGGCTGAAGAGCAGCGCGACGCAGACGAAGACGGCGGGGAGGACGATCTGAGGAGGCCGGGGGGATGAGGTTTGGCTCTGCCCAACCCTGCCCCGTGTCCTGCTCCATCCCCACCCCGCGGCCCCACCTGCGCGAAGAATCCGCGGGTGCTGCGCCGAGCGTGGAGCATCCTCTTGGTGAAGAGAGCGCGGAGCTGGCGGCAGGTGAGCGCCCAGCCCCGCACCCTCCCGCACGCCTGCCCCGCCGCCCCCCGCAGCAGATCCGTCTCCCGGGGCTCCTCCGCTGCCGGGACACACACGGGTCTGGCAAGGGACTCGTGCCAGGCGGGGTGAGGGGGGACAGGCTGCTGGCAGGGGCGCCCCCCCACCCCAGCAGGGACGGGGTGCTGCATGCAGGAGCCCCCAGCCCCCCCAAACTGCCCCCAGCTCCTACCTCGCCGGGCTCCTTTGGCTCAATGTAAAGGAGAGGAGAGAGGGGTTACTACCAGTGCCCACCCAGGGCAGAGCTGGTGCCCCAAACCACCACAGCCCCCCCAGGCTCCCGTGGCTGTCCCCACCCCACTTCTCCCTCAAGAGTTCTCCTCTTGAATTCCCCCCCTGGGATTTCATATCCCATCCCAATTCCTGCGCAGAACTGGGCTTCCCCAAATCCATCCTCATCCCAGATCTTTGCTCTGGGGACACCCCAAAACTGGGAGGTAGCTATGCTGCACGAGGGTCCCTGAGTATCCCCCTGCTTGAAGGGACACGTGCCTGAAGGGATGCCTGCTTGGAGGGACAGCCACCCAGATGGACACGTGCCATCACCCCAGCCCAGGGGCTGGAGGTGGGGAGCCCTCAGCAGCAGCTCAGGGGTCCCACCTCCCCCATCCTTACCCATCTCTCCATCGGCCACATCCCCATCCCCCATCTCGCCAGGAGCTGCTCCTTTCATGGTGCCTGACAAAATGAGGACAAGATGCCAGGGCAGGACCAAGGGGACAGGCTGTGACACCACTCTGCATCCACAGGTGTTCCCAGCAGGGCCCCTAGCCCTGGCAGGGTGCTGGGGACACCCCACTCCTCTGCTTTGGGCTGCTGAGCACCTCCCCAGCCCTCCCTGCATCCCAGAGCTCAGCTCCAGCCAGGACTGAGGGGTTTTACCCGTGGTGTCAGTGTCCAGCGCTGTGTCCTCGGCCACCTTCAGGAAGATCTGGGCGTGTGGGAGGGCTGGTGTTAAACACACACCAGCACCCACAGCCCAGTGAGGGAAACCCCCTGGTCAGGAGCACCCTGGGAGCCTCTTGACCACAGCCCCCCAGGGTACCTCTTCCAGGGTGGTGTCAGAGATGCCGTAGCTGGAGACCCCCAGTTCCCCCAGGCGTGCGTCCAGCTCACGGAACAGCTCCCCGAAGGCCCCGTCCCTGGCCCCACTGTAGGGCAGGACAAAGAGCACCTCGTGCCCGATGTCCTCCACCAGCCGGGAGCCAGGGACCAGCTTCTGGATCAGCGCTGACAGCTGGGCCACATCTGGAGGGATGGGGAGGGCTGGAAACCCAGGGCAGGAGCCACTGGCTGGCACAGCTGGCCACAGCTCTGTGTGCCTGGCATCCCAGCCTGAGTGTCCCCAGGGGAGATGGAGGGGATGGGGATCTCCTTCTGCACTTCCAATAAAAGGGGGAGAGGGGCCAGATGCGGGGCTGTGCACCCCCAGCCTCCCTGGGGTGTTGGGGGAGCAGCTGGGGGTGACACTGTGAGGGGACAAAAGGCTCACCCACGGCACTGGCATCACTGCCCCGCTCGCTGCCCAGGCCCGTGTCACTGCTGTGCTCCGAGTCACTGCCATCCTGCAGCAAAGGGTGGCTGGAGCCTGGCACCCCACAGCAGGACCTGGCCCCCAGTGCTCCCCAATATCCAGGATGGAGACACTGGCTGCCCTTTGGGGGATGATCACAGGACTGAGGGTCCCACCTTTTTGGTGACACCGGGGACAGTGCCGGTGTTGCCGCCTGTCCCGCTCCTGTCCCGCTTCACCAGGGTGAGGTGGTACCCGGTGCCAAGCCTGGCCTTGAGGAAGAGGGGGGACCCACAGCAGCAGAGCCGGCCCTGTGAGATGATGGCGGTGCGGTCCCCCAGGAGCTCTGCCTCGTCCATGTAGTGGGTGGACAGGATGATGGTGCGGCCTGGGGACCAGGAACGGGCTTGACCCCCTTGCTGGACCCCCCCATTGCAGGTTCTCCCCACCAGCACACCCCCCCGCTCGCCCCAGGCTGGGGGGCTCAGAGGGTGAAGCGGGGGCTCCCAGCCCTGACCTTTGCGGTATTTGAGCAGCAGCTCCCAGATGCTGCGGCGGGAGAAGGGGTCGACGCCGGCCGTGGGCTCATCCAGGATGACCACCCGGGAGCCGCCCACGAAGGCGATGGCCACCGAGAGCTTCCGCTGCATCCCGCCTGCAGAGGGAGGCGTTGGGGAGGCTCGGAGCCAGCGAGCCACGCTCAGGCACCCAGCCCGACCCCCACACGCACCCGAGAGGTTCCTGGTCTGCTCCCGGCGCTTGTGGGGCAGCCCCGTGTCCTGGAGCAGCTGCTCCATCTCCTCCTGCACCTGCCTCTCCGAGAGCCCCTTCAGCCGCCCGTAGAACCAGACGTGCTCCTCCACCGTCAGGCTGTGGGGACGGGGGAAAGGCAGGGTGAGGGGCACAGGGATGGAGGGAGACAACCCTGCATCACTCCCCACACCACCCCAGCCCTGCCTACATGTCGAAGAGCACGTTGTGCTGGGGACACATGCCCATGGATTTGCGGATGCTGTCGATATCGGAGCAGATGTCCCAGCCCAGAACATAGGCAGTGCCCGAGGTGGGGGGCAGAAGGCCAGTCAGGATGGACCTGGAAATGGTGAGAAAAGTGGGACATGGAGCACAGGGGCAGCAAGGCTTGGGGCCAGGGTACCCTGTCCTGTGTGAGGACCAGGTGGGGACAGAGTCAGGCTCAGCTCCTGTCCCCAGCCATGGCCATGCAGCCCCTCTGTGGTGGCTCACATGGTGGTGGTCTTCCCAGCGCCGTTGTGGCCCAGGAAGGAGGTGATCTGCCCCTCGTAGAAGTCCAGGCTCAGCCCGTTGACGGCCGCACGGCCGCTGCTGCCATAGACCTTCACCAGGTTGCGGATGGAGACGCCGGGCTGGAGATCGGCAGGCGGCTCCTCCACCAGCACTGGAAGCCACCAAGGGGTCACATCCCTGGCCAGGACCCCTCGCTGGGGGCAGGACCCCTTGCCATGGGGTGCAGGACCCTCCACTGGGGAGCAAGACCTGGGCTGGAGGGCTCCATGGCCACTGCCCTCAGCCATGCACTCCAGGGTGGGCAGGGACTCACCTTGGGGTGCAGTGTGGGGGCTGGTGTGGTACAGGGAGTGCCCAGATGAGGATGACTCTCCAAACCAGTAGCTCTTCAGGAAGGGGAAATTCCAGGGCTTGGGGATCCCGTACTGACCTGCAGCAGAAGGGGTTAAGTGGGGCCAGGGCTGAGTGGCAGCTGGGGGTCAGGGGAGCTGCACTCACCTGGGAAGACACCCTCGAGGTACCAGGTGGCCAGGCCGTAGAGGACAGCGTCCAGCAGCAGCAGCCCCATGGCTGCAGCGAAGCTGTACGGGTCTCCTGGCACGGGGCTGGCAGCCAGGTTGTGCCACTGGATGCCCACGCCCTGCTCCTCGTAGAGGGAGAAGTAATCACAGCCGAAGCCGAAGGCCACGGGGGACAGCAGGCTCTGAGGACAGCCAGAAAGGCAGTGAGGGCAAGGACTGGCTTGGGGGGTGCAGCCCAAAACCCCCACCCAGAGCAGCAGGGGCATTGCAGAGGGGCAGCTCCGGGCTCACCACCAGGACACGGATTGGGAAGGTGATGTAGTCGCGCCAGGCGACGCACAGCACGTAGGGCAGGTAGAGTGAGAAGTAAATGATGCCACCGCACGCCGAGGCCAGGTTGGCACGGGGGAAGAAGGTGCTGATGAGGAAGCACTGGCTGATGGTGGCTACTGAGAAGGTGCCGAGGAAGAGGAAGATGACTGCTGGGTCACTGTAGGGCAGGATGTTTCCCAGCTGTGGATGGAGGCAGGTTGGAGCCTGTGGAGCCTCCCGTGCTGGCTCCCAGCCCTGATGTTCCCTGTGTCACCCATGCTGTCCCCTGAGACCTGCAACCTGCCTTGAGGATGAGGACAAGGAGGGCAGAGCTGAGGAGGAAGGGGATGAAGCTGCTGAGGAACCAGCTGAGCCAGAGGATCCCGCTGCTCAGCCCCATGGTCTTCATGGTCTCCTTGAGACGCGTCTCCTTCTCGTGCACCACCCCCTTGATGATCATGGCCACTGAGTAGATCCAGGCCAGAGTCATGAAGAGAGGCAGTGAGCGGTTCAGGACCCTCAAGAACCTGGGGAGATACCACCAGCCATTCCACCCTTAGCTCAACACTCCTGGGCCACTCTTGTGCCAGGGACACCAGGGCATGACCAGCCCTGTGCCACCTCCCCAGCGCAGCCGTGCTGCAGGATGCTTGGATGTGTCCCCCATTGCAGCAGGGGGGTCACCCAACTGTCCCAGGGTCTGGGGCTGCCCCTGCCCACTCACACATCATCCACATAGCAGGGGTAGGGCATCTGCTGGACGTAGACCCCTGTCCGTGGGGCAGCCCCAGTCTGCACCCGCACCACCGCCTGCTCCACCAGGTCCTGAATGTACACGAAGCCCCCCCAGACGTAGCGCAGGTCACTGAAGGGGTCAGCTGCAGGGCCTGGGTCCCAAAACCTGGGGGCAGAGCACGGTGCTGGGAGCAGGGATGCCCTGGCAATGAGCACAGGGTGGCCAAGGAGACAGAGAGGGAGGGCATCCCCCAACCTGTCCTTGATCTTGTTGGTCCTCGTGACGTCATCAATGTCCATGCGGATCTTGTAGCGGACGTGGGGTGGCAGTCCGGGGGCTGTGGCATTGATGGGGGGCTGGAAGACCACTGCTGCCCAAAACTGCTGCTCCTCCAGCAGCTCCAGGGCTCGGGCTACCAGCTGCTCCTCGGTGGCCACTGCCTCGATCTTGTCCAGGCAGACACACTGTGGGAGGGCAGGTAGGGCTCAGCGGGCACGGGCGGTGCAAGGGGCCAGCCTGCCCACAGCAGGGTGACACAAACCTCCATGAACTGTGACAGCATGCTCAGGACTGTGTCCACATCAACGTACACCTGGTGCCAGGTGAGGCCTGGTCCCCCGGCTGGCCCTGTCAGGAATGTGACCAGCTCTGGCAGCTTCCAGGAGGTGCCGTTGAGGAACCCATCCAGGAGCTGGGCTGTGCTCGGGGCCAGCAGCAGGTCCTGCAAAGCACCAGGGTATGGGAGGCCATGCAGCCCACCCTGCTCCATCTGCATCCCACCCTTCTCCAGCTGCAGCCCACCCCACTCCTGGCCACTCGCACCCCAGCACAGCCCATCTTGCACCCCACAGCAACCCCATTCCCAATGGAGGAGTCTGGGGTCACCCACCTGGAGCACCTGCATCTCCAGGCTGCTGTTGAGGAGGGTGTAAATTCGGGGTCCCAGCTCCTGCCAGGCACCCCCCAACTCCCCCAGCACCGCCAGCTCCCGGAAGGTCCGATTCACCTGTGTGAAGGAGGTGAGACAGGTTTGGGATGAGAACCCCCCAAGCCCCTCCAGCCCTCCTGCAGCCCCTACTCACCTCAGCCATGACACTGTCGGGGCCAGGCCCAGGTGGGGTGTACAGAATCTTTCCCACAAAGAGGGGCTTGATCCCCCGCCAGAAGATCTGTGAGAGGGGGCTGGACTCCAGGCTGCGGAGCAGCTCCCGGCAGAAGGGACCTGGGGGTGCAGAGCTGAGCCCTCACCACCAGCCCCCCACCACCGGCCCCCCCTGCCCCCCGCAGCCCCTGGCTGAGCCTCTCACAGCCCCCCACTCACTGGTGCTGCCTGAGGCCACAGGTCTGTGCTCCGAGCTGTTACGGTCCAGGAAGGCTTTGACATCGTTGTCCTCGTACCAGTTGAGGGAGGGGATCCTGAGCCCCCCGCCCTCGGGGTGCCCACAGGCAATGTGTGACAGGGCTGTGAAGGCTCCCGTGCTGGTGTTGGGCACCCTCAGCCCCTCAATCTCCTGACGCAGCTCGGCCAGGCTGGTCATGGAGGAGACCTGGGGAGAGTGGGATGACAGTGGAGAGGGGCAGTGGGAGACAGGGGCACGGTGGGGGTGGGCAGGGGGCAGGAGAGGGGCGTACCTCCTCCATCAGGGATGCTGCATCCCGCAGGAAGCTGCCCAAAGCTTCCACGGTGCCAGCGATTCCGCTCAACTCTGAGCTCAGCTGTTCCTACAAGGGGCATGAGAAGGGGGTCACAGCCCTGGCAGGGAGGCCAGGGGTCTCTGCCTCGCTGCCCTCCAGCACACGACAGCGCTGGAGGCTCACCGCCAGCAGTCGTGGGAAGTCCATCTGGGAGAGGAAGGAGCCCTCCACGGCACGGAGCTGGGAGCTGGGCAGCGCGCAGAGTCCTTGCTGCAGGCTCTGTGTGGAGTCGGCGTCGCCGCCCACCAGGAAGCCCCCCAGGACCGAGGCGTTGCAGACCAGGGCCTTCAGCGGGAGGCGAATGCTCTCCAAGGAGAACTGGAAGGAGAGGGCAGTCGTGATGCGGTCACCGGCAGCGGGCACCGGGAGTGGGCACCGCGGCGACACTCACGATGCGGGGGCTGAGCCGAGCCCCCATCAGCTCATCCACCAGCGCCGGGGGCAGAGATGTGTTGGTCCGCAGGAACCGGGAGAAAGTCTCATCCTCTCTCAAGTATTCCCTCACCGGCAGAGCTGGGGGAGCAGGGGTCAGACAAGGGGTCTGGCTCCCCCGGCACCCCCCGCCCCCGGTGCTCACCGCTCCGCTGGTTCCCGCTGTCCCGGAGCCGGCGCAGGGCGGGCAGGAGCCGGGCGAAGCTGCGCAGGAGCCGCTGCCCGTGCCCGCGGAGCAGAACCCGCCGGGCTTCGGTCAGGAGACGGGAGACGCTGTGACACGGGACATGGGTGGGCAATGAGACCCCGGGCCAGCCCCGCTCTGCCCCGCAGCTCCCCAGCCCCGCGCTCACATGGAGCCATCGAAGTTTCCCACCACGCCAGGGGCTTCTCCTGCCGCGGGGTGCCGGAAGCAGGGGTTGTTCATGTTGCAGATGATGCCCTGCAGCCAGGGCAGGGTCCCCGCAGAGGGCAGCGCCTTGTTGGGAAAGTGGCCTGAGGGAGAGGGAGGCAGGTTCAGGGGACCCCACACACACCCGAGTACCCTGTGACCACAGGGTCCCCCCGCTGTCATCGCGAAGGGCTCCCGTACCGGGGCACACAGAGGGGTCTTATCTGGCTTAGGGGGTCCTGCGGGGGGCACTCACACTCATGTTGCTTGAAGGGAGGGTGGGATCGCCGCACTGAGATCAAGATAAGGAAGAGGAAGAGGGGCCACAGGATCTCGATAGCCAGCTGGATCTGGGGGACACGCAAGGCTGGTGGGATCCCGGTCCGAATCAGTGCCCGGGGCTCTGCCTGCCCCTGTGCCAGGCACCTGCGGCTCTGGGTAGCCCCATCCCAATCGCCCACTCACCCGCTGCCGCCGGCGGTAGGTGAAGTTCTTCCAGAGCAGCAGCCCCAGCTGGGTGCCCACCGCCATCGCGGGGGTCGCGGGCCCACCTCGGCTCCGGCTGCGGGTGAGAGCAGGGGGGGCAGCCCCGAGCTGGGGGCGGCGGCTGGGCTCTCACTTCCTTCTGCTTCGGGGCTTATCACACCCCGGGCACGGTGCCGGGCACAGGGCTGAGCTCCGGGGCCGGCAGAAGCCGGACGGCATTCCGGCAGCAAAGCTCCTTTCCGGAGCTAAAGGCTCAAATCACATTATTTCCTAAAGCAAAAGCACCAGAGCTGGGCACGAGCTCTCTCCAGGAGCCAGCAGCACGGTTCGCTGCCCATGCCGGGCACAGGGAGCAGTCCAGCACCCCAGGAGTAGCTCCGGGCGAGCTGGGCAGCCCGGGAGAGGCTGAGACCTGCCCGTGCCTCAGTTTCCCCGTGAGAGGGATGTGGGAGGGGCTCTCATGAGCCGAGGAGCGAAATTGCTCCGGTGCAGCGGGCTCGAGCTCCGACACCCGTATCCCACGGGGGTAGCAGCCACATCTCTGCCAGTTCCCGGGAATTTACCCACCCCTGGAGCGGGGCCAGCAGCTCCGGGGCCCGGCAGCAAAGCTCTGCCAGGGCGGCTCAGTGACGAGCCCGGTGGCGGCGGCGGCACGACCCAACCCGCAGCGTTCCGCCCGGTGCACCCGCCCACGCCCCGGGAGAACCGAGCTCCGGGGCGGCTCCCCGGTCACCGCCAGCCTGGGACACCACCAGCCCCGGACTTGCCCCTCGTTTTTCCCCGGGGCCCGGGGAGCCGCGCACTCCCCGCCGCGCCGCGCTCGCCGCCACCCGCCCGCGCCCGGGGCTAAGCCGGGTCCCGGGCGCAGGCGGGATAAGCGGGCACGGGGCAGCGGGATTAGGATCCCGGCTAGGAAATCCGCCTAATCGGCCTGAGGGGCCGGACACGAGTGGGTTCGGGGGTAGGATTCCTCCGGGGATGCACCGGGGTCAGCTGGGGTGACACGGAGAGAAAGAAGGAGCTGCCAGGTGGGGGTGACAAGGGGAGACAGAGGTGTCTGAGTGTCCCCATCCGCTGGAACCGGAGGGTGCTGCGGATCTGCCGGTCCGGGGGAGCCCCAGCCCCGCGGGGGCGGCGGCACTTTTCGGGACAAAACAACCACAGAATCCCTGGATCCTCCCGGGGGACTCGCGTGGGAATGTGCTCACTCATCTCACGAGGACAAACACGCCGCACCGCTGCAGCCGGGAGCTCGGTGGACGCCGCGACCCCGGCAACCGCCGGACCAACCGCAGCTCCCGGCGCCCTCCGACCCCGCGTCCCCCAACCCGGTTCGGCCGCACGGAGCCCCGCTCCGGGCGGGGTGCGGAGTCACCGGGAGGCGGACGGGCCGGGAAGATATAGGGACAGCTCAGACACGGACAACCCAGGGGGGACATGGGGACAGCTCGAAGGAACGATGACAGTCCAGAGGGGACACGGGGACAGTTCAGGGCTACGATGGGGACACGGGATAGCCTCGGAGGGGGGGCGGGGAGGCACTAAGAGCCTCGGGGGGACGCTGGGCGGCCGCATCCAGACGAGACCAGCAGCCGGGACACAGCCTCGCCTCTCGGCCCTCGCAGCCCCCGGCCCGGGACCCCCGTTACCTGATGCTGCTGCGCGGCCTCTTTAAGAGACCCCGCGGCTCCGCCGGGCGCGCGCAGGCCCCGCCCACCCCGCGCTACAAAGTAGCCGTGGGCGTGACGTCATGGAGCCGGCTCTTAAAGGGGCAGGTGCGGCGGGGGGCGGGGAGTAGGAATCCCGCCCCCACCCCGCCCCATCCCATGGATCCCATGGATCCCATGGATCCCATCCCATCCCATCCCATCCCATCCCATGGATCCCATCATTCCATCCCATCCCATCCCATCCCATCCCATGGATCCCATCCCATAAATTCCATCCCATGGATTCCATCCCATCCCATCCCATCCCATCCCATCCCACCCCACTCCACCCCTGGGAGCCCCACGGAGCGGCGTGGCTCTCCGAAACGCAGCATTTCCCCCAAAAAAGGTGGATCCCTTCCCGGAATAGGCACGTCCCATCCTGTCCCGTTGGCACAGTTAATTACTCATTCATCCCGCACATCCATTAACCCCGCAGCCCGTTCCCGGCTCCCCGGGACACGCAGCATCCCGCCCCAGCCCTCTGTCACTCCGGGGATCTCACCCAGCTCTCTGTAGCCCCCCAGGCACAGAGAGAGACCCGCCTGAGGCTGGAGAAGGCGCCTGCAGCAGACACCAGCTCCTGTTTATGTTGAAAGGATTTGTTTTTTTTTTTTTAATAAATGGTTTCAGTCTGAGAGCATCCACTTTAAAAACCTCACGGGAGGGGAGATGTCGATGGGCAGGGCACCGCCCCGGTTCAGGATGCAGCCATTGGAGCCAACCTCGGCTCCAACGAGCCTGGGCGATCAGGTTGCAGCAGGGCTGGGAGTGCCAGCTGTGCCAGCTGTGCCAGCTCCCGGCCCAGCCCTGCAGCCATCACCGTGGCCTTGAAAACTTGGTCTCTACGAGTTCTGCAAAAAGGGCATTTCCAGCATTTAGCGATCGCACCAGAGTGCAGACCTGTGTGCACACACACGTTTTCACTCACAAACGCACACCACAAGCCCGAGGCCTCTCCCAGATGTGCTTCCCCCGTGTCCCGCTGACCCCAGTCCCTCTCCTCCACAGGGCTGAGCAGGGTCCTGCCAGCACAGGGACGAGCAGCAGCACCAGGGGCAGCAGGGCACCCACTCCCGCTCCTTGCTGAGGGATCCGGGGGCATCACAGGGGTGTGTGGTGGGCGCTGGCTGAGTCAGAGGTGACACTGTCCACTCCCAGATGCTGCAACATCTGCCACCGTCCTGCTGCCCCAGCGTCTTGGAGCTCCTGGTGGGGGAATCTGCTGGGCTCTTCTCTAGAAACAGGGTCTTTATTTCCTCGCTCAGAAAAATAGATTCATTTCCAGAGTTTAAAAAAAAAAAAAAGAGTTTTAAAAGAGGGAATGATGACAGTGGAGGCCGGAACGCGGCTGCACATGAGATGGTGCGGCTGGGGCGGAGCCATCCCGCTCAGTAGCTCTCCTCCTCCTCCTCACGGTAGTAGCGGTACCCGGGCGGGTCCCCGCTCAGGTCCCCGGCAGCGTTGGCCACCTCGCCCTGGCTGCCCTGGGGGCAGTACTTGGGGTCGTAGATCTGGCGGCCGAGGCCAAAGACCTGCCCGCTCTGGTTGGCGCCCTGGTTGGAGCCCATCTGCAGCGACATGGAGGAGTTGTCACACTTCTCTGTCCCCATCTTGGCATCATAGATGTGTCTCCTGGTGCCGGGAGCCGTCATGCCCACCTGGAAGGAAGGACAGGATGGAGCAGGGCTCAGCTGTGGCACTCCCATCCCTCCCCAGCTCAGTGTGGGGGCTCACCTGACTGGCACACTTGTTAGTGCCCATCTGGAGGCTGATGGTGGAGTGGTCCATGGGTGGCAGGATCTGATTTTTGGGGTCGTAGAGGTGCCTCCTGGTGCCATAGGCCGTCATGCCGGACTGGCTGGCACACTTGTTTGTGCCCATCTGACAAAGGGGTCTGGTGAGGAACGTGTGCTGCCCCACATGTGCCCCTTCTCCCCCTGTCCCTATCCCCCCCAACCTGGGGAGCACAGCCAGTGCTCCCTAACCCATCTCCCAGCCACTGAGTGCTGGACACAGAGCCAAGATGGTCCCCGATCCCAAGGACACTTGAGACACCTCATGCCTTAGGTCCCTCCAGCAATGCCTGGAGCTGTGACAGCGCTGAGAATCTGACAGAACTGAGCACCCTTTGCCCAGCCCCCCACCCATGGGACCCCGTGTGGCAGCCCACCTGCAGCCCGATCACACACTGCCCAGCCTTCATCTTGGCCTCGTCGAAATTCCTCTGCTGCTTCTCCGAGTACTTCACGCCGATGTCCACCCCGCTCTGCAGCCCCTTCGTCTTGGCCTGCCAGGAGCAGCTGTGAGGAAGGACAGGGGTCCCAAACCCCCCACCCACTCCCTGGGCAGGGGGAGCTGTGGGGTCCCACAGGCACCAGCCCAAACTCGGGGTCCCCATGGGGCTGCAGCCCATCCCAAACTGCTCATCCTCTGTGCTCACCATTCCCGCCAGTGCCAGCAGTGACACCTGCACCTGCGTCAGGTTCCCGCTCTCAAAAAGGTCGTTGGCTTCAAAGAGGTCCACGGGGTTCATACCGTAGCTGGCCATGGCCTTGATGAAGTTGGAGAGGTTCTCAAGCTGTGGAGAGGCAGAGGGGTGAGCCCTGGTGGGTGACAGCAGGAACAGCAGGCGGGTGGCAGCAGAGCTGCACCTACCTGGTGCCAGTTCTGGGCCGAGTGGTTGATCTTCCTCACTGAGTTGGGCTGCAGCTTGTTCATGAGCCTGGAGGGAGGCAGGGGGACATGAGGCTGTGGCAGGAAAAAAACCTCAAAGTGGCTGCAGGGCATAAGCTCCTTTCGGGAAGGTCCAGCCCAGGCCTCCTCCATGTGAGGCAAGTTTCCCCCCCCAGTCCCTCTTTGTCCTCAGGGCTCTCCCCAGACACAGAAGCCCTGGGGGTGACTCTGGCAGGTCCCACTGGCATCCAGCCCACCCTCCCACCACAAGGGCTGGTGAGGGTCCCCTGGAGGTTTGGTATCCCCCATCTCCTCCCAGCTGGAGCAGGGGCTGGGGCCATGCTCAGCACTGCCCCAGGACTCACTCGCAGAGGATCACCCCATCCTTCAGCCCCTTCTGGAAGTCAGGTCCAATCTGTTTTCCTGTCACGCTCTCGATCCACGTCCGCAGCTCAGCCTCCTTCTGTGGATCATACTTCTGGGCGAGCTGGGGGGCAGTGGGGGGACAGCTCAGGCAGGGCCCCAGCATGCACCCCAAACCCCTCATGGGGACAGTTCCCCCCCCCGGTATGGGAACAGGGACAGGAGCATGAGGATGATGCTGCCAGCAGATACAGCAGCTTCTGAACCATTCCAAAAGCATGAGAAGGAACTGCCCATGGGATTAGGGGGAAGTGACCCCCCGGATTTGTCTCTCCCTGTCTGCTGGAGCCCGTGGGAGCTCAGCTCTGAGCCCCAGGGGTCCTGGCCACGAGATGCTCTCCCTTTCCCTTCTGGCGAGGCCCAACCTCCACCACAAATTCCTCAGTCACCGCGGCTATGCCAGGAATGTGGATGTCTCCTCCCAAATGGAGACCAGCTGCCAGGGCCAGCAGCATCTCTGTCGTCTCAGCCCCCAGCCCACAAGGGAAGGGAAAGTTCTCCTGGCCTAGGGAGGGAAGGGTCTGGAAACCCCGAGTGCTGTCCTGCCCCAGCCCAGCGCCTCTGATGCTCAGCTGGCACCTGGGGGTGGCCCCAGGGCATGCACCAGCCTCTCGCCCATCCTGTCCCTTCCTGGTCCTCCTATGTGCCAAGGCCATGAGTTCCTAGGGATCCTGGACACAGGGAGACTCTGGGATGGGCACAGTCCAGCCCTGCTACGTGGCAGGGAGACACTCCAGTTCCAAATGGAAGCTCGGCTGATGCAGGACATGGTTCACCCTCATGACACCACGTGTGTCCTGGCTGGGGCATTCTACAGTCCCACCAGCTGATTTTCTGGAGCGTGAGCAGCTGAAGCCAGTTCCTCTTCCCTCCCCACGGCCAGCCTGAGGATTTCCCAGGGCATGGGGAGTACACCAGCCCCACAGAGATCCCACCACAGCCCAGTCTGCAAGGGCTTCCACAGACTGGGAGCATGTCACTGGTTGATCTGGTTCCCAGTCGGTGATGTCACCTCCATCAGACACACCGGGGCAGTTGGACTGGCTCACGTCTTGCTGAATCAACATGAAGCACTGTCACCCGCTCAGCTGGGGCAGCCCAGCCCCGGGCAGGCCGGGGCTCATCCTCTCCCCGTTACGAAATGCAAATCTGCAAATCCCCTGCCATGCCAGGTAAGGAGTGAGCGCCCGGCCACGACCACCACATCCCGCCACCACCCCGGCCACGGCAGCCGCGTGCCTGTCACCACTTGTCCCTTCTCCTGCCTGTCCAGGTGTCCCCGGGCAGAACACTCTCAAACCACCCTCAAGCCACCTGCCCCGGGGTGACCACGGCTCAGTCTCTGCTCGCCTGGGCACAGCACCGACCACCCGGGGCTGCTGTGTCCCCTGCGCCCCCCGGCTCGGCAGGACCCCCGTGCGGGGGCAGGAGGGTGCCGGCAGCTGCGCGCACCCCCCGGCACCCGGATCCCACCTAGGGGTGCAAACAGCTCAGCCGGAGGCTCCCATCCCTCCTTCCCCTCCCGGCCCCGCGGCACTTCGGCGGGAGTGTCACCGGGGCCAAAAGCCGCATCCCCGGAGAAGCGGGGACGCTGCCAGGTCGGAGCATCCCATAGAGCGATGTGGAGCTGCGGGGAAGCAGAAAGCGGAGAAGCTTTGTGGAGCTGGTCTGGAGAGGAGCGAGGCGATCGCCCCCAGCCCCGGGTGTGACGGGAAAGGTCCCCTCCGTTTGCCGGGGGCAGGGGAGCCACAGCGGCCGCCGCACGGGAGACACCCAACCGCGGTCCCCAAGACACGTCCCTGGGACCCTCTGGGCAGGTTCAGGACACTCGAGACTGGGAGCCCAGCTTCGCTATCCCCAGCCCTCAGAGACCTCGGTACTCT